CTTGCTTTCTGTGGGTTCCAGAGGCTTCCATTTAAAGGAGCATCTCTCCCCACTCTGCCTCACCCGACACCAGCTCTCCTGTACCCACTGGCTTTCTAGACACTTTCTTCCACTTTCACCTCATTGAATTCAAGACTCTGGAAAGTAGTCAAAAATTATAAAAAGGTGGGAGTGGGGGTGATCTGGAAATCCCTGCTATAATATTTTTAAAGGAATCTACTGGAAACTATGTTTTAAATAAAGCCATCCCTTAGCACTAGAATATCAGGCCATTCATTTTTTTAACAGAACTTTGAGATATAATTCAAGTGTTTTTTATATGAACATATATGTGTGTATGTGTATATATACAACTATATACATGTGTGTATGTATATATACACATAGTTGTATATATATGCACATACACATATGTATACAGTTATATGTAGTTGTGTATATATATATACACATACACACACATATATATATAGTTGATTTAGGACACAAAAATACTGATCTTGAGAAAAAAGCATTGGTCTCCATAAATATTGAAACTATCTGGCATAGCAAAAGTCCCCTTTAAGAAAATGACTGAGAAAGCGCAGAGTGACAGAAAATGCTCACAGCGTGTATATGTGAAGAATGTGTCATGTTGGCCCCAGCTGTCAACATTGCCAGTGTTGCTGCTGTCCTCAGTGCAGACAGCTGTGGCATTTGTTCAGAACTGTCAGATGCTGAGGGTGGCTGAGCCGGCCCTGCCTGGGCCACAGACCCTAAATGGGACAGAGGGGAGGGACTGTGGGTCAGAATCAGCATAGTGAGGAGGGCGGATGTGTGGAGCAGAGCCGACTGTGGATCCGCTGTCCCCAGGTGAGGTGCCCCCTCCTCTGTACAGCGAGTGAGGAGGGTAAAGACACGAGCCCTGGGTATGGTTCAGTTGCGACTCTGCTTCCTGACACTCTGCTGTGGAGCCTGAGCTTTCAGAAGCCACCTTACATCTCCCAAAACCTTGACGGGAGCAGAGCCACTGCATTTAAATAAGAGCTGCAACCCTCCTGTTCCTGGGCCCCTCTGCCCTGAGTTCTCACAGCTGACCCGGTGGGGTGAAGGTGTGTCCTAGCAGGTCAGTGTTGCCACCCAAATCTACCCAGTGGGCTCCCTGATGACCAAACTCCCCTGGAGGCTCTGAGTCATTCTGAATCACAAACCACTTCACAATTTTCCCCCAGCAACACTCGTTTTGATTGACCCTTAAAAGGCAAAAGACCCTTCCCAAAGCTCAGACAGGCAAAATCTTCTAGTGAGAACCGCAAAAGCCAAGCCAGGTTTAGGTATTGCAGACATCGCCCTCTAGTGAAATATGTGAGGAATACCCAGGTAGAAATAAGCTGAAGAAAGCCCCCAGTGGGCCGAGTATATTAAAATGAGCACGCATTAAACAGCAAACAATAAAAGACATAATATGAAAACCACATGTCATGTGGATAGATCCGTGTTCCCATCTCTGGACGGGCCACCTACCACATACATTGTAAACACTGTATGGAGACAAATTTTTCAGATGAAAAAAGCATGAAAGCCCCAAAGTGTGGCTTCGACATCATTATTCAGCAAGATCTGCTCTGTGGCTTCAGCGCTGGCCTCCACCTTTGAAAGGCCAATTACAAACAAAATGCTCACTCAGTGTCATTTCTCCGATGTCTGCACTTGTGAATGGTCAAGTGATCACTTTGGTTACCACTGTTTCTAACCAGGACAGCAAAGAGGGAGGTCACTTGAATTAACTGTTAATATTGAGCGTCCCGCAGCACATACTCTACACATACCTTGGGAAATCTCGTATGTTTTATATTTTGAGGTATAAAAGCATAATTTTTACTGCAAAAGTATGAAGATGCATTAATGAATGGTTTAGGTCATTAATGTTACGTCTAAGACATTTAAGAGCTTTAAAAAGAAGAAATTGAAAATTTATATATATAAAAAATAAATTTGCTAAATAGTTTAGGAAGAATATTCTTTTTGGGTTAACAACTATCAATTAAATTTAAAAAACAATTCAGGGCAGAATAACAGTTAAGATAATATCAATTCTATGTTTTGTAAAATTCTTCAGTACATTCGTATTCATAATGTTAAAATAAATAATCTTTTCAGAGTTGCATTTGAGTTTTAATTATTCAATTACAATTAAGCCATGAGTCTTCCAAGAAAAAAAAAATCTTAGTTTGCAAAATTCTTCACATCTTGTGAAGATGAACTGAAAGCAGAATGTTGACTTTACCACATCAAATTATCATAAGATAGAAAAATTCCAAACATACATACTACAAAAGCAACAATAAATGATCATTCAGTTTGGATATACTAGAACAATTTAAAAGCTGGAAAAAAGGAAGAAAAGTTTTAGAGAAAAGCAAGGAACCCAAAACAGTTTGATCTCACCAATCAAACTTCAGATATCACAGTCTACGCCCATGAGTCCAACACATCCACTCTATCGTGTTCTGTCCATTGACAGAGGCTGAACACTGCTGTCCAAACGACGGCTTGAGATGACCACAGTTCACAGTGGAGGATGAAACACTCAACTTTTGAGAGCTGAACGAGGTACGAATAGCAGAGTAGAGTCTCTTTTAAACCTAACAGCATGAGGAATTAACGATGAACTCAGTGAGGATTCTCTGCTGGAAAATCTGATTGAAGAAATATTTATAGACTGGAAAGCCAGTTTTTAAAATGTCATCACCATACAATTTTCATCAACAGTGGAACAAAGAAGATGAAGGCTATGAATGGGTTAAAAACAGCCAACAGACCAGGCACAGTGGCTCGCAACTGTAATCCCAGAACTTTGGGAGGCTAAGGCAGGAGGATTCCTTGAGCCCAGGAGTTCAAGACCAGCCTGGGCAACATAGTGAGAACTCATGTCTTATAAACGAAAAAAAGAAAAACAAAACAAACAAAAAAAAAAAAACCAGGCTTGGTGGCTCACGCCTGTAATCCCAGTACTTTGGTAGGCCGTGGTGGGTAGATCACGAGGTCAGGAGTTCAAGACCAGCCTGACCAACATGGTGAACCCCCCCGTCTCTACTACACAGGCATCCCTCAGTGGGCCACAGCTAGAACGCCTGGAGCTGGGGTCCCCATGGAGGCAACTGTGTCCTCAAGGAGGCCCCCAGCTTCCAGCCAGCCTGGACAAGGGGTCGAGGTGCAGCAGGGAAGGGAGAGAGACAGGAGGGGCTCAGCAGCGCTCCCCCATTTCCATGTCCGGGAGCAGACAGGGCCCTGGAGGGGCTGCACAGGGCGTTCCCCACTGGGAGTGTCTGGAGGTGAAGTCTTGGGAGCTGCCCAGAGAGCACAGCACACAGCTAGCAGCAAGGCCATGTCCACGGGAAAA